GGTGAGTAAAATGGTATTATTTCCACTTCTTGGTTGATCATAAGCACAAGCTTTTCTCGAGCAAATTTAAAGTTCATTTCCTGCAAATAGTGGTATATGAGATTTTAAAACTGGCTTTTGGTGAATGTTCATAAAAGTGGAATTTTAACTACTGGGATGTTTGCAGAAAGTGAACAAAGGGAGCTTGAGGAAAAAAAAAAAAGATATTTTCTGTTCCCTGTCCTTTATTTTTCAGTATTAGCCTAGCTCATAGCTCTCAGTCCTCAGAAACCATGCAATCTTGGGTCTGGGACCTCCCCTCCACAGTCAGCGGTGTTTCCCGATTCTTGTATCCTCTCATATGCACACTTGTGCTACAGCCTGCCACAGACACAGGAAGGATGGGGAGAGTGACCTTTCCTAAGAGGATCTTCCTCTCCTCCTGTTAGCAGCTTTCCCCGCAGCCCACCTCTCTGCACCGGTGTGCAGTCGCACTCAGTGACTCATGTTCTTGGGGAAAGGCAGGAGCTCAATGGAAGTAAAACTGGCCAAATCAAGCCTGAGGGCCACAGATTGGATGACGTTCCTTTACCTCCAGGGCTGAGCCCTTTTTCACAGTTTGGATATGTGACCAGAGAAGGTGAAGCAGGGAGTAGACTAAGTTGCAAAACAATCCGATCTTCCCAATTTTTGAAGTGCTCAGTTCTGAACTGGACAGACTTTTCTGCTTTCCCGTGCATCTTTCAGCTCTTCCTGTTTCTCCAACGAGGAGGTTAAGACCGACGTAAAGCTACAAAGGGAGTCAGTCCACTTAAAAATGCCTCAGAGATCAAAAGTTCCTCAATCCCAATGCAGAGAATGCTGCTTCCACTTATTCCACAACAGAAATAAACAGGCTTGCATTTTGTCTGAAACTGAAGCCTGAAGCAAATTTAAGGAATTGCAAATAAAAATAGGAATGTAAGTTCGTACAAAATCTTACAAGACAGTCTTGCTAACATATAGACTACATTAGGCATAAAACTACAGTTCTAAGAATACTTTTAAATATAGAATGTCCAAAACACCATTCCAAAATATTTTAATATAGACTGAAAAGACAAAACCAGAAAGTTAATAAATCTGATTTCACTTGTCAGAAACAGTATAGGAACAAAGGTAGATAACGGCAACAGGAAGAGCCTTAAGAAGCACAGAAGGTTTATTACTTATAGCACAACTCCACCAGATGGATTTTAGTTGAATTTCAGTTGCTTTTTTCCTTCTAAAGTTTATATTTACTTTCAAGGCAAGTGACTCTGGGAGACATCAGGCATTTGCTTACTTATTTCATGTGCTCTGTATCTGTGAAAGTTGATTGCAAAAATATGAAATTATGTTTGATTATGAAAACCAGATTTAAATAAATGAAAAAAAATAGAACTGAACACCCGAGAAGATACACAAAATGACTGGAGAAGATACACAGAATGACTGAAACTTAAATAATCTAAGTATAGATATGGTGACATGCAGAATGCCAGCACTAAATTCCACGATACTTCATCTCCCATCTATGTTAAATCTAATTGTCCCAAACTTGCACCACATTGGCTTTTGGTACTCTTCCAGCTAGAGAACTTGATCTATAGCCCACAAAGTCAGTATGAATCATTTATGTTTTGGCAGATGAATGCCAATAGAAAATTGCCTTACACACAAACTGAAAGTTTTTGTATTTTTCCCAGTGGAAACTTGGTAACAAAAAGTAGTCTTGAGCATAGTACCAATGACTGGGACATAATTCATCATCAATAACACATTACTTTCATATTCGTTAAAGAAAACAGCTAAGTTTCCCATGTAGATGTTGCTGAAAGGAATTGGCATAGAACACATGATACGAAGAATTTTATTTACCTGGTTATTAATAATGTAGTTTTCCTATTTCATATGGGAAAGAATGTGCATGTACGCTACAAAATAATGCTCTTGGCCTGAATATGCTCTAGAATGCACATTGGCTGTATTACCAGTGGCACAATTCACACAGGATATTCTCAGTCATAATAAGAACACGATGAAGAACGTGGACACAAGGGGTTTAGGAAGATATAGCTTTCTCTGTGTTCAGATATTGGTTGTTTTTAAACGTGAGCTTTGGTTAAACATCTCCTCAAAAGAATATTTTTTCTAATGCCCAGTTCACTTACTAGCCTGAAGTATTTATTTATTCCCAACTAATAGAACCTAAGTTGGTTACTGTTTGCATGGTCATTGGAATTATTTTGTTAAAGTAGATAATCTGTTTATACTTTTTCACCAAAACTCTGGTTGAACAGAAAACAACTCCAAATTTGTTTAAAAAGAGAGAGTATTAGGATGTATTTTTAGATTCATATACATTATGCAGAATACAGTTCCTTCTAAGGATCAAAAAATCTCTGTGTTTCCACCAGCTCCCAACACAAATTGCCTGTCAGGGTAAAATTTTGAAAACTGCACTGTAACCACAATGATGAAGGAAATTACTGCCAGACAGATTATATAGTCAAGAAAAACCATGTAACTTATTTCGCGCCTCCTAGCTTGAATACATATGGGACAAATGCAAATTTTCCAAATGAAGTACAGCTCATTGCATAAATTTCAAACAGATAGTAATTTGCACATATTAAAGCTTGGCTTGGATCATAAATGGAGAGCTTTTTCCTGAAATGCCAGCTTTTCTGTAAAGACTTTTTTTCCCCTAAAGGAACATCAATTATAAATAATGGTCTAGCCAGCAAAATTGGAAGGGCCAGACTGAAAGCAAAGAAATGGGGAAATAGGATTGATTAAAAAATTATTATCCTGCCATGCATTACAGGTATCATGTGAGGGAATAGTTTGGGGCGTACTGGCAGTTATATAAATTCTAATCTGAAATTTTCAAGAAGTTATGTTGACACAACTGGATTTCTGTGTGCACCCATGGGGTGTGCAGAGATAGAGCTTTTCAGCAAAGTTAAATGTCACAAGCAAGCCCTTAAGCTCTCCAGGTCCTGAGGACCTCTTAAGATTAGCGTTAGCAGTGGGTAATGGGATAACTTGTATAAAAAGCTATTAGAAGCCTCCTTGCAGTCAGCTAAGTTGATTTAGATTTAGCTGCTTAAAGCATGGAACTAAATCAGGAGTATAATCGTTCCTCCAGAGATTATAAATTCCGACTAAATACTAATTTAGAAAGAAAACACTGACAAGCCCAAATACAAAGAGATATATTTTGTTGCAGTTCAGAGAATAAAGGTTGAAATGAGGTGGAAAGACTCAAACAGCATGGATGTCGGGGACAGGTGGGGCACAGCTACGTACCAAGTCGGTGTATTAACTGAGCAGATGAATCCGAGCTAACAGCAACTCATCTATTACTCTATTACTGGGTGGGCCTCAACTACAGGAGCACTGTCCCTGACCAAGGGAAAAACTCGATCAATTTGAGAGATCAATTCATCCGCTGTTGCCAGGACCCTCAGGACATCCCCTACACCTTCCGCATGCAGTAGGGCACTTAACACACGCATAGCGTTGCCAATACTATTTTGGGATTTGGCCATCAACTGTGCGATTCCTCTCTGTCTTTAGACAGCTGACAGATAGAAAGATATGCCCCACACAATAGCATAAGCACACTACCCACAAATTTTCATTTCCACTGAATAAAAGCCTTTGCGGCGACTGTGGGGAAACCCGCGCAAGGAAGCCCCACGAGGCGTCAGCGGACGAATCAAAATGGCGCGTCGCCAGCGGGACGCCTCCCGCC